GGTTCATGGATTCTTTGTATTATTTCCTTAGTCTCCATTGCATTACTCTGTAGATACTGCTACTCTGTTGATATCTGCTTATACTCTGTAGATATCTGCTAATACTCTTTAGATATCTGCTAAATCCATTCATTCAAATGTTTGGTTCTGCTCTGATTTTTTGTTGTTGTTGTTGATTTTCTAGTTGACATATCTGTTTGTGACAGTGGAGTACTGAGGTTCCTCCATTACAGTTGTATTAGTGCTTCCTTGTCAATGAATTATTTCATATAATTGGGTGTTGTGGCATTTGGTGCATATATATTTATGATGGTTGTGTCTTCTGCTTGGATTGTTCCCTTAGCAAGTATGTGGTCACCTTCTTTGTCTTTTTTGATCTTGATATCCAAATAGAATAGCTACCCCTGATGTTTTTCCTGGGTTTCTGTAGCATTGTTTTCCATCCTTCGACTTTCAGTCTGAGAGTTTCTTTTTGAGTTAAGTGCATTTCTTGTATGTAGCATGCTGTTGAGTCTTGTTTCTTGATCCACTTTGCAAATCTATTTTTTTTTTTGACTGGTGAATGGAAACCATTCACATTGAGGGTTATAATTGATAGGTATTGACTTGTCTTTGTCAAAATATTATTTTCTTGTTGTTGATTCACTTTATTTCCCTTCTATTTAATTGCTTGCCTTGCCTGGTGGATTCATTCTATTGGGATTCTTGGAGTTGTCTTTTTCTGGAATATCTTTCAGAACGTTGGAGTGCTGGTTTGGTGGTCATGAATTTTCTCCAGGTGTTCTTTCTCATGGAAGTATCTTATGTCTCCTTCAATTTTGAAAGGTGCAGCGGTACCTTATGTCATGAACTTAATTCTTTCCATGATCCTGGTTCCAAACTGAATTGGTTGTGAACTGAAAATTTCCCCATAAGGTTAACATTGAACCTAAGCATTGAATTTGATTTGATTATTGTCCAATTCTGTTTGGAACCAGAATCACAGAAAGAATGAAGTTCATGAACTGAGATACTATTGTAATTTTGCAGGGTACCACAATATGGGTTGGAGGTTGTTCCCCCCCCTTTTTTTTTTAAACCAGGAATCAAACTCAGGACCGTGTGCTTTCCAGACAGGCTCTGTGCTACTGAGCTATACCCCTTGTCCAGGAGATTCTTTTCTTTTAGGGCTTGAAATATGTCACTCCAAGCTCTCCTGACTTAAGGATTTGTGTTGAGAAATCTGCTGTGATTCTAATGTGTTTTTCTTTATAGGTGATTTGTTCCTTTTCTCTAATAGTGCTTGATATTCTGTTCTTGTGTTGAATTTCTGGAATCTTGACTGTTATATGCCTTAGTGTAGTTTTTTTCCCTGATCATGGCTAATTGGAATTATATTTGCCACACTTATGTGTATGTCAAATTCTTTTTCCATGCTTGGGAAGTTTTTTGCTATTCCTTCTGTGAACAGATTTTTTTTATGACCTTTATGCTATCTTCTAATTTTTTATTCATTCTGATTGATCTAATTTTTTCTTCTTTATATTGTCTGGCAGCTGTTAGATTGATTTCTCAGGGTCCCTTGCCATTTTTAAGAAGTCTTTCAATTGATAGTCACTAACTACCGCCCTGTCTTCTAGATCAGATAGTTTGTCTTTACACTTGTTGATTTTGCTGTGTATACTTTCAATACAATTTTTTTATTTTTTTTGGTTTTTCTCCGGTACCGGGAACCGAACTCATGACCTTGCGCGTGCCAGGCAGGCGCTTTGCTGCTGAGCTAAATCCCCAGCCCCACAATACAATTTTTAATCTCCTAGCTGGCTGTCTGAGTCTGTTCTATTAAATCCATTTCTTTGCTATATTGGACATTCATGGTTTCTGTTATTTTCCTACACACCTCTATTTTTTTTAATGTGTGTCTACTTTAGATTAACTAACCATGTCCTTCATTATAGTCATCATCTCTTTAATAATCTGTATAATTATTTATATTTTGTTTTATTTTTAGAGCCTTGTTTATCTGCTTTATTACTTCCACTACTCCTTTCAGAAAGTTCAATGGGGTGGTTTTTGATTTCTTCCACCTCAGTGCCTCTTGGATTTGCCTTGGGTGAGCTGGAGGTCTGGGGTTGCATCTTACTTCCATGTTTTCTTATTTTCTACTTTTTTGTTTGCTTTCTGTGTTGATGCTTGTAAATGGCTTAGGTAGGTAGCTTTATTACTAGTATCAAGATCTCTTAAAAATGACTACTTCTCAGAGATGTCTTCTAGACACAGCTGCCTCTTGGCCTTTGAGTCTGTCCCAGGATCCTGCCTCTTTGGTTTATTAGGGATGAGAGGTACAGCATGTTTAGCCCAGCACCCAGTTCTTCGTTACTGGATTGCAGTACTGTTTATGTCCCCCAGACAATCCAGGTTTTGGCATACAAAGAGGATCAATTAATCACAGCAACTATGTTACCTTGAATAAATAGTAAAATCAGCAATAACAATAGCATCAAATATGGACTGGAAAATGACAAATTGTGATAACTGATAATTTTCTACTTTTAACCATACATACAAGATTTATAGTTATAGGGTCAGGGATATAGCTCAGTGGCATAGCACCTGTCTGGCAGGTGCAAGGTTCTGAGTTCAAGTCCTAGTATTCCCCCCCACCAAAAAGATTTATAGATATATAACAAAAGCTGCTGGGTGTGGTGGCATATGCCTGTAATCCCAACACCTAAGAGGCTGAGGTAGGAGGATCAATGTGAGTTCCAGGCCAGCCTGGGCTACAAAGTGAGTTTAAGGCCAGCCTGAACTGTGTAGTGAAACTCTGTCTCAAAAAGATTAAAAAAAAAAAAAAAAAAAGACCAACAAAAGCTAAGACAAATCAGAAAATTATCAATGAACTGCGTAGTGAAACTGTTTCAAAAAGATTAAAAAAAAAGACAAACAAAAGCTAAGACAAATCAGAAAATTATCAATGAACTGTGTAGTGAAACTCCATTTCAAAAAGATTTAAAAAAAAAGACAAAAGCTAAGACAAATCAGAAAATTATCAATAAATATCCACTCAACAGAGCAATTTTATCCTACTGGAAGAAAATGAAAAGGGAGAAGAGGAAAAAACGAAAAATAAATGAAGAAAAAGAGAGTAAGAGCAAGATTGAAAGACAGAGGAAGGTTACCCAAGCTTTAGAAACTAGTGAAGAAGACAGGAGGGAAAGAAAGAAAGAGAACAAAGTGAGAAACCAAACAAAATGAACTACAAACAGTGTTCACTCTCACATGAAAACAAGAACAATCAGAGGGAAAAACCCCCAAATGAATAAACATAAAAACACAAAAAAGCAAAGAAAAAAACCAAGGAAACGTCTCTGATTTCAAGCCTGTGGCTATCTTCAGGGTTTTCTAGTTTTGCAGCAGTGTCCAACTCAAGGTGTGATTCTGCTCTCACTGGTAGACACAGGAGGTGGTCAGAGCCCAGAGCAGTGCTGGGTAATCCCAGCAAGAGGGCAGTAACTTAAGGGGTGGTGTTGGTTCTGAAACTTTCATATCCATGGAAGTTCAGGGTAAACCTGATGTCAGGTCATGGATTGAGGTCTGAATTGTTTAGCTTATAACACTCCGGGTGTCTTTTGCCAGCTTGCCCACTGGTCCCTGACCATGGGTGTCTCCCATGATTGTCCCTCACCCAGTCACTGTGGGAGTTTAACCCTGGGGATCCTGAGATGAAGCTGACCTGCGGCTGCTCTGAGTCCAGACTCAGTTGGTGCCTCCCTAAAAATGGTGTCTGACCAAGTGTGCTTTCCAGGGGACACGGCAGTCTTTTGCACTGGAGTCACTCACCAGCTGTTGTAGCGCACCGCATCCACTGCTCCATTCCACTGGTGTGCTTCTCCCTGGAGACCTCTGGAGTCGCCCACTTTCACTGTATTCACTGTAGATGCAATCTTCCTTTCTCAGGCTGTGAGCCAGGGGCTGGGGAGAAAAGTGCAGGTTTCCCCTTCTTTTTCCTGTGCTGTGGTCTGTCACTTTAATTTCTCTGTAGGTCCAATTTTCCCATCAGGTCCTTCCTGGGTTCCAGGGATCCACCTCTTTCCTTCTTTTCTTCCCCAAGTTATTATTTTTCAGTGTCTTTATTCTGAATCTCGGAGAGGCTGATTTGTTGCCGCTTACCACTCTCCCATCTTCCTGGAACTCTCTGTCCCAGCATAGCCTTTCATCATTCAGATTCTGTGTACAGTTACATTCTGTGTACAGTTAACCATTTTCTGTATGACAGATCTTTTATATATCTCTGTCATCACTCTTATTATGTCTATTACAATTTTCTATTTGTCTCATTGCATTCATCTTTATTTTCTTGGTGCCTATAATAGTGTAATTTTCTTCATACTTTATTTTGGCCTTACATACAAATAAAAAAAATGGAGATATATGATGGAAAGTCTGTATGTCCACATGGCTTTTTTATTGAAAAACCCAGTATACTGGATGATTGTAGCAGGGCTACATAGCCAGTGATAAACAGTACAAAGGAACTAAAAGGAGGAGAGTTGAAAAACTATGGAAACTTTAAAAATGGATTTGACTCTTAAAATTTCAAGTTAAAATGGGTGGGATGGTACACGCCTGTAATCTCAGCACCCTGGGAGGCTGAGGCAGTAGTTTAAAAGAAAGAAAAAACATTTAGGTTAAAAGAAAATTTAACAATTGAATGGTAAGTAGTTTTTTAGTTATTGGCTGTAGGGATAAGAATTTTTTTCTTTTTTTAAATTCTGGCTCTGAAGTCAGGTGGTTTTTGGTAAATCCCTTGACTTCTGCAGCTCTCACATTTGTCAAGATGAACTCTAAAATCCCAGCCAGCTGAAAGGGACTGTGACGGTGTGCACCAGTTCACAATGCCTTCTCTTGAATGAGTATGTTCCTGACCAGTGCTCATGTTTATTTTTAGATGACACTGCAGATTATGCCGAGAGGTACATGAAGGAAAATGAGGAGTACTTAGATATTCATGATTTTTCTTCAGCCAGTAGTCCACGTGTCAGAAAGCATTTTCCAGAGACTTGGATTTGGCTAGACACTCACATGGGGTAAACTTTGTTCATGTCATAAACTTTGTTCATGTATATTTTGCTTATTGTGTTGTTTAAATAAATTTTGCACCCTGTCTAATGCTTAAGTACAAATACAGTGTAATGAAGAATTAAATAAGCCAGGAGGTTTTTGCTTTAGAGTCATGTTGATTCTAAATCTAACTGTAGTATTTCATAAACTCACATGCAGATTGTAGCGGCAGAGTAGCATCAAGGAAAAGAGAGTTTTTAAGAAAGGAAGGATGATTTTAATTTCCTTAAAGTCTCATGGTTGGAGAAAAATGGCTAAATGTACATTTGTGGCTATGGCAAAGAAATGCTTACAGTTCCTTCCTGGGCTGTGGTGTGGGACAGCTGACTGAAAAGCACTGCTCATAAGACACCCCACGAGCCACAGGGGAAGTGGGGCATGTGTGGAAGGAATTCAGCTTTGTTGAACAACCCTGGGCCCCCTGGTAACTGAGTAGATGAGTCTTGGAATTTGGGCTGGGGATATAGCTCAGTGCCTTAAATGTGGGAGGTCCTGAGTTTGATCCCCAGTACTGCAAACAAGAACAACAAAAAAAAATAAAACCATGAAATCTAGATAGTAATCTTATGGTCAGATTTTAAAGAATGTTTTAAATCAGAAATGAGTCAGATCTCACACAACCACTACAAAAAAAAGTCAGCATTGACAGAGATATAGAGAAAAATGTTTTCTGCAATTGTGAAAAAAACTAAAGTTAAGAAATGCATATTTTGGGGCCAAGGATACTGCCTGGCAAGTGTGGGGTCCTGAGTTTGATTCCCCCCCCCCACAAAAAAGAAATGCATATTCTTCTCTGTACAAAATTTGTGAAAATATAGTGGTTTTTCAAAAGATAGAAGCATTGTAGAAAGATTTTAAGGAAAGGGGATCAGTATGCAATGTTATGACCTAGTTTTTGAACTTGGGATCTACTTTTTTATGCTAAAATGGTCTTAAATTTAGATATATAAATGATACAGAAAATTAAGATTCTTCCAAAAAATTGGTTGACTTATTTTGAAATATGTCCATTCTTGGTTTTGTGATTTTTTTTTTTTTTATGTTTTTCTTCACTTCAGATCCAAGATTTACCAGGAATTTGAAGTTACTGTACCTGATTCCATCACTTCCTGGGTGGCTACCGCTTTTGTGGTCTCTGAGGACTTAGGTCTTGGCCTAACACCTGCTCCCGTGGAGGTAGCATTTTAAGGGCTACACGTTAATGTCACAGTTCCATGAAGCTAAGAATTTCAGCTACTCAATAGATTATTTTATTTTTTGTCTTTTGGAGACAGGGTCTCGCTGTGTAGTCCAGGCTGGCCTTGAGCTCACTTTGTAGCCTGGGCTGGCCTTGAACTTGGAACGATTCTTCTGCCTCAGCCTTCTGAGTGCTGGGATTACAGGCGTGCGCCACCACACCGGGCTACTCAATAGATTTAAAAAAAAAGTGATTGCTTATGTTACCATAATTTAGAGATCTGTTGGCTTTGCCTTTCTGCTTTCCTTATGTTTCAACTTTTAGAATGTCAGCTATATTCAATCACTAGATGTGCTAGGTCTCTATTAACATTTGGGTAGAAAAAATTTATTATTGAGCTGATCGAACAACTTCCAATGGTGAGAAAAGAGAAGTGTTTCCATGTGTCCCTCGAGGATGAGAAGAACTTTTCAAGGTGTCTCCTAGCACATATGATTCCTTCATATCTCCTTGGTCAAATTGTATCACATTTTGTTTCCAGTTACTAAGAGGAGTAAAAATGATAATGTATAGCTTAGGCCAGTGCTGTCACTTCTGATGTACAGTACCTGAAGCCCCCTACTTGTAACAGTCTGTGTTGCCTCTTTACCATCCCAAAATGCAATTCATAAAAGTATAACATACTTACATTCATGGTTTCAAAAAATTAATATGGTATCCTAAGTTGAAGTACTAAGGAGAAATAAATGGACAATAATATATAACAACATAATATGTATTTCAGGGTGTAAGTGGTCAGGAAGCTTAAATGTTGACACTAGGCAGAACCACCCTGAATGTAACAGTTACGAATGCAGTTTACCTACAGGTGTTGAGCTCAGCTCAAAAACCACATAGTGAGCAACTTTTGGTAAAGTTACACACAAAACAAGGTGCAGTGGTCTCTTGATTTCCAAAGCAGTTGTATCTGAAAAATTAATTGCATGTTGAAAAATGCTTTGGGTTTATGTAAATTGGAATTGTGTTGTAAGCCCAGAGCATTTTAAATAGGTACTTTATCTATGTAAATGTCTACGGAGAAATTCAGGAATCATGAACAACATGAGACATTTCTTCATTGATTAGGACTCCCTGAGCATGGTGCAACTTCACCGCTGGGTTCCAGTAACACCCTCCCATCTTGGTGACAGCCCAAGACACCTTCACAGATGTCCAAATACACCTCTAGGGGGAGTTTCTGCCACCAGTGACACCACTGGCTTAAACCAGTTCAGGTTTAGCTTCAGAGGTAGAGGATGGGTTGGATATCCCCTACAGGCTCAGCCGATTTCAGAAATGGATCACAGAGGAGGAGGGGTGTGTGCGCGCCAGTATGAAAGATATCCCCGAACTTCAGCTTTCTTTGTTGTAAAATAGGAGCATGACACCCTCATACTATTGTAATGAGTAAGTGATATAATTTATGATATACTCGGTTCTTGGTAGGTGATTAACAATGTGTGGTGGTTATTATGTTAAATAACATCAATCAAGTCAGTTTGCTGTCATTGGGATGAGTTGTTCATGCTTGCTGTTGATAGACAAGGAGACATTAGTAGATGGACTTAGGCGCTTAGGAGCTTTGTGGGGATTGCTTTTGATTATGTATAATTTTGACCAGAATAATGAATTTGACCAGACTTTTGACCAGAAAAATTATGTATAAATTTGACCAGAATATGAAGCATTTTGACCAGAATAAAAAGATGCATTTCCTATGTTCTTTCCAGCTACAAGCCTTCCAACCATTTTTCATTTTTTTGAATCTTCCCTACTCTGTTATCAGAGGTGAAGAATTTGCTTTGGAAGTAACCATATTCAATTATTTGAAAGATGCTACTGAGGTAACGTATCCCGGATTCTGTTGCTTGTTTATACTTCAGGAGAAAACATGCAGAGATTAGGTGGGGAGATATTTGGGCATCTAAGCATGTTACACTTTCCTGGGAGACTGAACATAGATGTGCTTCAGGGCTGTCCTTAGCACGTCTCTGCACTCCCTCCTTGATTTCCAGCACAGCTCTCCCTGTTAGCCCAGCATTTTCTTGTGGTCTTGGAGACCCCTTGCTTTTCATTGTCATTCTGGGTCTGTTTTGGTTGTCCAGCACATATCGCCTTGAAGATTTGATGTGACACGGAGATGCCTTTAGTGAGGAGCCTGACCTACCCTGTGTGTCCACACTCCCCGTGACCGGACATGTGCCTGTGTCTCCTCAGCCAGTCACTGCCTGGAGGCCGGGGATGAAGTCTGCTGTTTGTGTTATGCCCACAGTCGTGGGAAGCAGATAGTTAATGTTTTTCCCCGGCAGTAACTAGGGATACACAGTTAGCTTTACAGGGTGAAAATGCTACAAGTTCTTTAGGCACTTTATCAATATAGTGCAGTGTATTTTATTTTAATAGCTAGGGATTGAGTGCAGGGCCTTGCTTATGCTAAGCACACACTCTACTACTAAGCTGCTTTTTATTTTTTGCTTTTTGGTCTTTTTTGAGACAGGGCCTTGCTGTGCAGTTCAGGCTGGCCTTGAGCTCACTTGGTAGCCCAGGCTGGCCTCGACTCACAGCAATCCTCCTGCCTCAGCCTCCCCAGTGCTAGGATTACAGGCGTGCGCCACCATGCCCAACTGCTTTTTATTATTTAATTCTACTTTTTTTTTTCTTGTACAGGGAATCGAACTCATGACCTTGTGTTTGCCAAGCAGGCGCTGTGCCACTGAACCATATCTCCAGCCCTTAACTGTACTTTGTAATCTAGTGAGCATGATACGAGCAAAAAAACCTGGAGTCAAAAGGCCAACTGCCTGGTTTGCCGCTTACCAGTGTATAACTTAATTGTAGTTTCCTCATCTAAAAGAAAAAAAAGTGAATCATAATTACTATTTACCAAAAATATTTTGAGAAGTAGATGAAAAAATAAATTGGAAAACAGTTTGTAAAATACAAGGCCTAGAACAAGCCTACTTTATGAGACCAACAACTTGGCATAGTTTTATTTTATTTTTTTATTTTTTTTAGTGTGGCATATGTTTCAGGACTAATGTCTGAGTAACACTGTTCTTGGGATAAGTTTTGTTTTGTTTGTTTATTTATTTATTTATTTATTTATTTTGGTACCAGGAATTGAACTTGGGACCTTGCACTTGCCAGGCAAGCACTTGTGCCACTGAGCTGTATGCCCGGCCTGGGATAAGTTTTGCAGACTCTTTGTCTTTTCTGAGACAGGGTCTTGCTATGCAGTTTAGGCTGGCCTTGAGCTCACTTTGTAGCCCAGGCTGGACTCGAACTCACAATGATCCTCCCTCTTCTTCTGAGTGCTGGGATTACAGGTGTGCAGAGGCTCTTAATAGAGTAATAGCGCTTATCCTTTTTCTCTTATGCTTTTCTGATGGGACCAGTGTCTTCTGGGATGTCACAGTTAAGTTTGGCTGGTCATGATAGTAATACTGTATATAACTTTCCTGTAACAACCTTATTACTCCTGGCATAAGGAGAGAACTTGATGGTAGAAAGGACTAGAAATGGAGCTAAAGAATTTCTTTCCCCAGTTATATTGAGGTGGGTGGGGAAGGCACAGGCATTGAATGTTTTCCTGACATCCTTTCTTCATCTTCTTAGCTGAATGTTTGTCTCATCTTTTCTGGTTTTGAGCCTCACAGATTGAATGTGGTGATAAGACCATACTTTACCCAAGAGCATTTATTATCACAGAACCGTTGGTGTTTTTTTTCCTTCTAGGTTAAGGTCATCATTGAAGAAAGTGACAGATTTGACATTCTAATGACTTCAAAGGAAATCAGTGCCACAGGACACCAGCAGGACATTCTGGTTCCCAGCGAAGATGGTGCAACTGTTCTTTTTCCTGTCAGGTCCACACATCTGGGGGAAATCCCGATCACAGTCAGAGCCATCGCACCCATGGCCTCTGATGCGATCACCCGGAGGATTTTAGTAAAGGTAAATATTTGGAGTCTTACATAAACAAAATGGAAATACTTAATTGAAAATCAAACAAGGTATTTTTTCTCTCAGTTAAATTTGTTGGCAGAACTAGTAGGTCATTTGCTCAGTCCTCCTGGTCGTGCCTGATTGTTTTCTCATCTGCGTATAAAAATATGATACATGAGTGCTTTAGAATTTCTCCTTTGTAAGCTGAAGTGGAAATACAACCATGAAGTCTCTTTTATAATCTTTTACACTACCAGCTGTGCTACATGTGATCTTGTTAAACCACGGTCAAGCTGGTAAGTAGATTGGGAATTCTGGAGTTCCCCAGTTCAGGTAGAAGAGGTTTTGTAGACTTCTGGGAAGTATTAAAAAAGACAACTCAGCATAGTGGATAAGCCCTTGGGCCTGGGATCAGATAGGAGTGGGTTTGAACTCTGCTTTATTAAATGTGATTTTGAGTAAGGTATTTAACTCTTCTCTTGGATAACAATGAAACCTGCCTCAGAAGATTTTGCAGTCCCACTTGCCTGTCTCCTTTGTCATTTCCATTGCTGTTTCATGAAGCATTCTAATTAGCCAGGAAGCATATAGATTTGAAGTCAGAATCAAGAAGTGCTAGGTACATATCTAGCTATTCACAAACTGCAGACACCATGGGCCCAATATCTGTCTTTATGTCCACACACAGTTCTCTGTGAAGAAGCTGAGACCATGTTAACTTTGTCCTTTTTTTTTCCTGATAGGCTGAAGGAATAGAAAAATCATATTCAGAAGCTGTCTTGTTAGACTTGACTGACAAACAAACTACCCAGGAAGCGTTGAGTTTCTCGTTTCCCCCTGATACGGTCAGTGGCAGTGAAAGAGTTCACATCACTGCAGTGGGTAAGAACAGAGCATCACCATGTATTAGTATTTCTATATAATAATATCTATTGTTCATCTATTTACAGATGTATTTTCATATTACTAATGAGAAGAGATCGTAAAAGTTCTTGTTTGTGCCAGCCACTGATTGCAATGGAATAGCAAGTTCTGTCCCTTAGGTTAGCTTCTCTCCATCTTCAGGGTCTATGTGGCTCACCTGGGTTCTACATTTCTAACAGGCAAGAGTGCTGCTTCTGTCTGCAGACCACACACTGAGTTGCCAGGCCCCATACTGTGGCTTGAGCGGGTTTATTGCTAAAGGTAGAGCTTCTGGCTTCTGCAGCTCCCGACCCCTGGGAAGTACCAGAATTCTCTACGAAGCTTTGTAAGACACACAATGTTGGCCCACTTGGGAGGCCCAAGGGAGATTTTCACAGGTGAGGCCCTGAGGTTAAGGAACGCACGTGTGTAAGGCGTTGGCAACAACAGCAGGCAGCATGGAGCACAAGAGCCGTCAGAGCAAGAGCTGCCTGCGTCTTTATTGTATAATTGTTATACCCGTTGTCATCTCATATTGACATCCTTATATAGTACCGTAGCCAGCACATGTGAGTTTACCTATGCTAAGCTGTGGTTACATAACTATCCCAATGTGCGCCTGCAGTAGACAAGCAGGGTCATGTCCTCGGGTGTCCTTAGATGCCCCTGAGCTTCGAAGCAGCCTGAGTGGTTCCCCATACACAAATAACTTGAAACCGACTGAATTAGAGTTTCTGGGCTCTAGCTAGGGCTGGTCCGATTTGAAAAGTTTCTACAAGTGTTTCTGATAAGCAAGGGCTGAGAATGACTGCTTGGAACAGTTCTCTGTGAGGACACAGCGACCTTCATAGCGGGAAGCTGCCCACTGAGTTAGTCCGTTTTCCGTGGTCCCATCAGGAACTTAAATCTTCTTTTGAATTAAGCATAACTGAAGTTGGGGTCCTCGAGAGAAACATACCAACAGGACGTATCTAAAGGGAGGTTTATTATGAGGAATGTGCTCGTGCCAATGTGGAGGCCGAGTGGTCCTGTGAGAGGCCATTTGCAAGTTGGATGTCCAGGACATCTGCTGGAGTGATAAGAGTGAGACCCAAGGCCAAGAGCTGGTGGAGTTGGTGATGTAAAATCCAAGATGTGATGTTCAGACTTTCGCGTGAGCCAAGGTAAAGGGCAGACAGCCCCTTTCTTGGCTGTGTGAGCTATTGCCCTCCCTGGTTTGGGGATGCCCACCCATACTCCTGAGACCCTCTGCCTTCATCAGGCCATGGATTCAGATGCGTGTCTCTTCCAGAAACCCTGGAAGACACACCCAGAGATAGCATCCATCAGATTCCTCAGGGCTCTTTGTGACCTACTGAGGTTGACATGTAAAATGAGCTATCACAAAAGGTTTTAAAAAAATATAATTATGCTTTACAAATAACCAAAGAAGAAGATTTAATGAGTGACATCAAAATAGTTTGTTAGGCTTCAAGGCATCAAGACCAATGGAACTTTTTTGGAGTTCTTTCTTTTAATTTTAATATTTATTAATGCATATTGGCAGTACATAATGATTACTTTTATTGTGTGAAATTGGTACCTTGAATCTCACCTTTGTGACATGTAATGCTTTTTATGATTGCCACAAAAAAATGATCCCTGTACAGAGGATTTTATTTGGAATCCTAGATATAATTTTTAGAAGGAATTAGTTAAGTTTTCTGTTTATGGGAATTCTACTTAAGTATATCTCCCACAACATTGGGATGCCGGGGATACAGCACTTGCACAAGTACACACACACACACACACACACACACACACGCATGCACGCAGACACATGGAAACATCCTTGAAGATTATGAAGATGTATACCACCCACCACTTCTGAAATAAGTTGAGCCTATCTGTGGTCATTAAAATACTCTTAAGATTTAATGTTTATGCTTAAAATAAAGAATAGATTTTTCAAGTTTTATTTCCATATATTCTTAAACCTATCTTGAAACCCAGAATATATCAATTTTAGCTTTTTCTTTGGATTTTTGAGATTTTAAATGTATGGTTCATTTTGAATGTTAAAAAAATGCGACCTGCAGTGGCAGGAACATGACCTGGCTCACTGTTGACATCTAAAGTTGAAGGTCTGCTGGTAGGGTTGTAGCCTGTTCGTAAGAAAGAGGTCTTCCTTTGTTTCTTGCATAAATTATTTTTGAGGGTCATATTTTTGGTAGTATTTGGACTTGAGATTATGTAAATTTTTAAAATAAATGATATAGATGATAATTTAACAGTAGTGGGATCAAAATGAGGAACTCAGCCTCCATATATCTTAATTTTTACTTATTGCCCTGAGCCATGACATTAGAATGCTGATAGAAGGGCCTTTTAAGCATGTCTTTTGTTCAAATGTAGTTTACCAAGGTTTTTAAAAATTTTTTTTGGTACCAGGAATTGAACTCAGGACCTTGTGCTTGCCAGGCAGGCGCTTGTGCTGCTGAGCTACATCCCTGGCCTAGATTACCAACTTTGAACAATATTCCTAATCTTTTTTGCTGCTGAGAATCATTGAAAACTTACACTTGTTACCTTGCTGCTGCTCAGGAAAGCACATTACAAAATGCTGCCATTCCTGCTGCTTTAAGAAATACCGTTTCTCAAGGATTTGTAGCATATTAGTAAGAAATCAGGATAAAGTTATGTTCTCATGAAAAATACTAATAATAAAACATTTCTTTCCTGTATGAGAATCATGATTCCTAATAATCAATTCTGGACACTTTTTTCAAGATTTAAAGGAGAAAATTTTTATCTAATATGTATATGTCATATCTTCAACCAAAGCCGGGCATGGTGGCGCATGCCTGTAATCCTAGCACTCGGCAGGCTGAGGCAGGAGGATCATTGTGAGTTGGAGACCAGCCTGGGCTACAAAGTAAGCTCAAGACCAGCCTGAGCTGCATAGCGAGACCCTGTCTCAAAAAGACAAAAAAAGAAACCTCAAAAAACAAAAAACAAACAAATATCTTTAACCAAGCTAAAAGCCTTCTCATTTACTACATAATTTGCAAGTTCAGTACCATTGCATTGTTACTGTTTGGCCGCATAATCCGGTGTAGAGTTTGTACTGTGCTCCTGTTTGGCATGTGACAGATGCCTTCTGTATGGAGTGGAAGACTCCTTGCCCCTGACAGGTGAGTTGTTAATCGCGTCTGCCCAGTGACGGCAATGTCTTACCCTTCCAGGAGATGTCCTCGGTCCTTCCATCAACGGCTTAGCATCTCTGATTCGAATGCCTTACGGCTGCGGGGAGCAGAACATGATAAATTTTGCTCCGAACATCTACATTTTGGATTATCTGACTAAAAAGAATCAGCTGACAGATAATGTAAAAGAGAAAGCCCTTTCGTTTATGAGGCAAGGTAAGATTTTTAGCAGTGCCTTTTTATTTGTGCAAAAAAGTCTGTTCTCTTTTGAGGCGGGGTTCACCCGAGGTGCATGGTATTTCATCACAGTTGGACTTGTCTTAGTAGGCGATGGGGGATAGATGGTGCTGAAATGTACTAGACGTTAACTCACTGACTCCTGCTGGGGGTATGCTAGCTAGTACTGGTTTCTGGAGCAGTTTGTGTTCTCCCAGGGGATCTGAAATTGAAAACTAGAAATCTAAAGGAATGAGCGATCATTTATTTACTGCATATTTATGGAGTATTTCCAGTGCCAGGCTTAGGCCTAGTGCTGAGGAGCGGAGGAGGTGGAGCCTTTTAGCTCAAGGAATTCACCCCCAGTGAGAAGAGAGCGTGTGGGGTGGGACCTGCTCCGTGCATTTAAAATGTCCAGCCGATGGGGCTCAGAGAGACGTTTGTGTGAGGGACCTGCAGGCACCTCAGCAAATGCTGCCCTGGCGGTGACTGTACCCTGCCTCCTCTGAGAAACTGACCGGACACCGGGAGTGTCAGTCGCTTGCTAACAGCAGCAGTTAGCTGTCTGTGACAGGGTGTTCCAGTCACTCCACACCTAACACCTCGGTGCTCACAGCGAGGGTCAGCATGATGGCATTTCACGGAGCTGAGGGACAGAAGAGTTGCTTGAGTTTCCCTGCCTGTGTGGTTTACGTTGTGTACGCTGTCCATCACACTCATGAGGATGTGAAGGGCTATACAAAATGATGGGGAAAATCACCCAGTGTACTTTAAGATAAGTATAGTGCCACTCTTTTAAATTCATAAGCTTTTCTTTTTTTTGGTACTGGGAATCAAACTCAGGACCTTGCGCTTGCCAGGCAGGCGCCTGTACCTCTGAGCTATATCCCCGGCCCATAATTCCTAAGCTTTTAAAAATTGTTTGTAATGAATGGCTTATATGCCAAGAGAAGCAAGCTGTTCTGCTGACTTCTCCACAGAATTAGAAAGCTTGGGAAAGATGCCATTTTGATGTGAGCCTCTCTTTGGGTTTTCTCATTGCCCGGAGACCTGTTTACCCTCAGCTAAAATCTGTGTAATAATAGTAATTTAAAAGCTGTTTATTTTTTTTTTTGTTTTTCTCTGGTACCGGGAACCGAACTCACGACCTTGCGCTTGCCAGGCAGGCGCTTTTGCCGCTGAGCTAAATCCCCAGCCCCTTAAAAGCTGTTTAAAAGCTCCACACAGGCTCCCTTGAATTCTCACAAAAGCCTTAGGAGGTAGGTGTGTGATTTCCATCTCACAGCTGAGGGACGTGAGGCACCTCTGGTCACCCCAGGTGCTCTGGCTGAACCCATCTCTTCACACTAGGGAATAATTCCAGTTTGTGATTTCCCGTGTTGCTAGAAGCAGCAGGATACAAGAGGGCCAGGAATGGTGTCAAGGTGTTTAGGTCCTGCCCGTGTGTAAGAGGTCTCCGTGGGGTTTGATAAAATGGGAGAAGCGCGGGGTCCGGTGGGGGAGGACACACTAAAGGTTAGAATCTGCAGTCGTTCACAGCAGTGTGAGCCGGAAGGTGTGGGATCCAAGGAGATGAGTGTTCATCACCCAGAAGTCTCCGTGGAGTGGGGTGCTGCCAGCGGAGGCTGAGTAACCTTCTGGGCCACGCCAGGAGCAGTGTGGAGCATGAGACCAGGGTTTAGAGTTTGGGTCAAGTGTGACCTGAGCTCTGATGTGAAGAGGGAGAGGAGAGATATATTTCCCTCGGGTTAGTGCCAGGCCCTGTGTGCTCTGGGGCTGCCTCTCAAACCCAGAAGGTGGTTAGCTCCTGTCTTACTTTTCTCATTGCTGAGACAAAATAACCAACACCCAGAGTTAAAGGAAGAAAGGTTTATTTAGCGCATAGTTTGTAGAGGTTTCAGTCCATAATCAGCTGGCTCCAAGGCAGGGTGGCTGGGCAGAGGGACATCACACAAGAGAAATAGTCATGGTGCCTGAAAGATAACACAGTCAACAATGTTGTGTGTAGACTACCTGCCCTAGGGTGGGAGTGGCATTCACAGCCTTAATCTGGGCCAAAACTAGGCCAAATCAAAGGACCGATTTACTAATCGCATACCCTTGATCCCTGCACCATATACTCTAGATTCAACCACTTCTGAAAAGCCCTCCGCTCCCTTTCCTTTCACTTCTTTTTCTTGTCTCTTTGAGACAGGGTCTCACTATGCAGTTCAGGCTGACTTTGAACTCACTTTATGGCCCGGGCTGGCCTTGAACTCAGAAAGTTCCTCCTGCCTCAGCCTCCCGCGTCCTGGGATTATAGGCATGAGCCACCACGCCTGGCTTCTTTTCACTTTTTGAAACAGCATCTCCTCTGTCATCCAGGATAGCCTTGAACTCAAGAGCCTCCTGCCTCAGCCTTCTGAGTGCTGGGATGACCGGTGTGTGCCAGCCTGACTCTTCTTTTTGTCAGTCAGGTGCTGTTTTCCTCATGTGGCCTAAATGGGCTTTCCCCGTTGAGTTACTCTCATTTATAGCATCACTTCACTTCATTTTCTTCACTTACTGTTGTTTGAAGTCATCATCCGTCCTCTGCACTGGAGAGCGAACTCTTGTCTGGAGGGTGGGGCCGGCTTGGTCTCCTCATCGCTGCATCCTTGCTTGGGTACCTTGGTGCGGGCAGAGTGGGTGGGTGAGTTGTCAGTAGGAGCATTTCCCTCGTGAGGCTTTAGGTTCGATTATCAGCATACCCTAAAGATCCCACCTTCCCTTGGCGTGTCCTTAGCAGCCAGGAAACATTAGCAGTTATCAGTGGCTTCCGCTCGGTCTCCTTGGAGCTGGCGAGGTGGCTGTCGAAGCTCAGCAACATGGAGCTCCCGAAACACATCCTCTCACTGGCTGAACTGAAGTACATTTCAGGGTGGTGGGCAGGTTTCCTGTGATGGTGCTTTTCGGTGTGAGATAGTGTTGCATTTCAGAGACTTACTATTTTCTTTTGCCTTAACGTTTGCCAAAGTTCTTTGAATACAGTACAGTTGTTTTATTTTTTAAGACCTTAAAGTGGCTTTGGTCTGAGTCATACTACATTGTCATTTATGAGCTGCATGCTGCTTCTTTGAATCATACTTGGCCCGCGGCCCCTGTAACCTAACCCGCTGGTGTTTTGGTCAAAACAACAGCTACATCATTGAATGAAATATATTTCATTGTTTTTTTTTTTAAAAAAAGGTAGAACCACAAAATGAAATATGTCTCTCATAAGGATTGGAAATCCTGAAATTGTTAATGGAAGATTTAAATCCCGTGTTTTTCTCAGCTATCTGAAGGGTGCTTGAAGCTGCAGTGGTGGTGGTATGGTGCTTAGAGGTGCGAAGTTCTCCCGGGGTCGGGCCCTTTTGGAGGTGCTCCTGCGTGGATGGAGGCTCTCCTTCTCTGGGGTCCTCTGCCCTCCTGCTGGACTGAGTTCGCACTTACACTCCAGCTCTGGTGGATCTAGTCTTGAATTGAAGGAGTTTGTGTCAGTGTCTTCTGCTTTGTGTGTGTGTGTGTGTGTGTGTGTGTGTGTGGACATTAGGAAATTATTCTGGCTTTCTGTGATCCCTGATCGTCTCAGACAAATAAAAAGATCTATCTATCTATATTATATATAGTGACCCTTCACCTATTGTGGGAGTTACTTTCCAGAGACCCCCGCGATACATGAAAATCCATGAAGTAGCAGCGTTATATTTATTTTATTATTTGTATATACTTTAAGGCATTATAAACCGTTCCTATACTCCTATAAACCTTTCCCACTCTCTTATTAACCTTTCCCACACTCTCATAAACACTTCATGTGCTCTTAAACACTTTCTACACTCTTAAGCTCATGTGATTTTAACAACATGTAAAATTCTATATGGGACCTCGATGTGAAGTGGACAAGGAGAGATGCTGAATGTATGGGCACAGTATGGGAAAGCAAACAGACTGATGCTATGGTCATTGAGCCAATCAGCGCCCAGGATACAGAACACAGTGCTGTGATTGGTCGCCTTCCATTCCATCAGCCAGCAGTGTGCCGAGTACAATCTCATGTTGGCAAACTTGTGCAAGCAGTAGTAATGTACTGCATTTCCATTGTGTACAGTAGGGTATTCATCTGCTGATGAAATACATACTGTATTTTATTTCAATTTAATATTCTTTTAATATGTTTGCATTAACATTTTTATATTTTTTATATTTTAAATTTTTAGGCAAAAATAATTAAAAGCATAAATATTATATAAATACCTATATACAGCAAAATCCCATGATAGAGGGAAAACTCCGTGATACAGAATTAGATATATTTTTTAAAAAACCCTGCGATACAGTGAAGCTCCAGTAAGTGAACTGTGATATAGCAAGTGATGACTGTATAGTTTTTTCAAGGTTATATAAAAACTAAAATGAGAGGTCAGGCATGTTTTCACACACCTGTAATCCCAGCACTTGGGAGGCTGAGGCAGGAGGATTGTTTCAAGTTCGAGACCAGCCTAGCCTACCAAGTGAGCTCAAGACCAGCCTGAACTGCATAGTGAGACCCTACCTCAAAAAGACAAAAACAAAAACAAAAATAAAAACAAAACAAAAAACCCTAAAATGAGAAAGTGAACTAATGTAGTATTCATAATAATGCTTTTATCACGTATTTTCCCTTCTAATTTATTTTTGATTATGTAGAACATTAGCATGCTTCCAAAGCTTACTTTTAGTTTTTAAAAATACTCAAAATTTTAGCTTATCAGTACATGCATGTCGTACATAATGCTTACAGTCCTTGTGGAGAGTCCATACGTGTCCACAGGGCGTCTTAATTCCTTTTCCCTTCCCTTCCCCTTCCTGCCCTCCCTGCCCCACCCATCCCTCGGTCCCCTTCCTTTTGTACCGTTTGCAGTATGTGGTATTTGCACCTCTTCTGTAGAGCTGGTACATGTACATAACCCGTCTCAGTTCCATTTGTCCATCTCAGTTCATTCCCTTGTCACCTCCCTCTGTCTTGATTCCTGTCCCCCTTTTCCCTACTTCCTCTTGCCTTTCATTTTGCTCTTTATTTTTACTTTGGGTTTCTTATATAAGAGAAACTATGTGATATTTAAGCTGGTGTGTTGATTTATTTCACTTTGCATTGTGGTCTCACGGTGCTTCCATTTTCCTGCAAATGACTCACGCTTATCTTCCTTTATGGCAGAGTTGTAATCCACCATGTGTAAATACGTTTTCTTTATCCATGCATCTCTTGATGGACATATAGGTTGCTTCTAAGATTTAGCCATTGTGAATTATACCGCTATAAATATGGGGATGCACACATCACCGTGGTGTGATGTCTTTAACTCTTTTGGGAAGAACCTAGAAGGGGACTAGCTGGGCCAACTGGTATTTTTAGTTTTAGTTTTTTGAGGCATCTCCATACTGATTTCCATGGTGGTTGTGTTACCTGGTAGTTCCTTTTAGAAATGGCTCTCTGGTTAAAGGCATTCCAGGTGCTTCCTTCTCGCTCCAGTCAAAGAATTGAATGAAAGAAGCTAAAAACAGTGACAGGGTTTATTTGAAAAGTGAGGAGGTGAAGGAGAAACTGGCTCTGGAGAGCAAATTTGGGGTGAACAAGAAAGGGAAGGAGAAAAACAAAAGTAAAAGTACCCTGGCCTAGAAGACACAGGGAGGACTACCATGTAAGAGACATATTCAGGGCTCCTTGTACATCTTGGTATCCCATCATGCCTTTCTTCCCAGCCAGCCTAAGCCACACCTAATCTCCTGTCTCAGTTGTATCAGTTTACACTCCCACCGGCAGTGGAGAGGGGTTCCTTTTTCCTGCAGCCTCTCCAGCACTTGTTATTATTTGGTTTCTTGATGAGGGCCATTCTTTCCTAGGCAAGGTGGAATCTCAGTGTTGACTTACTTTGCATTTCGCTAATTGTCAGTAACGCTGAGCATTTCTTTATTGGCTATTTGTACTTCTTTTTCTGTGAAGTATCTGTTCATTTTGCTTACTCATTCTTTGATTGGATTTTTTGGGGATTTAATTCTTTTGAGTTCTTTGTATATTCTAGATATGATTTCTCTGTCTGAGGAATCCCTGGCAAAAAATTTTTCCCAGTCTCTCGGTGGGCTCTTTTCTTGTTGGTTGTTCCTTTTGCTTTGCAGACTCTTTTTAATTTAATATGATCCCACTTATTGATTCTTGGAACTGTTACCTGTACAACTGGGGTTCTGCTCAAAAAGTTCTTGCTTTCACTACAACTTTGAGAGTGCTACCTACTTTGTCTTCCAGCAGTTTAAGTGCTTCTGGTTTAACATTTTGTTCTCTGGTTCATTTTATTTTAGTTTAGTGCATGGTGAGAGATAGGGGTCTATGTTCAGCCTTCTGCATGTGGATAGCCAGTTTTCCCAACATGGTTTATTAAAGAGCCTGTCATCCTCTAGTGGTGTGTTTTTGGCCCTGTTGTCAAAGATCAAGTAATTGAATGTACTTGGAGTTGTTTCTGCATCCTCTGTTCTGTTCCATTTATTGTCATGTCTGTTTTGTGCCAGTACCATTGTTGTTGTTTTTTAATGACTGTAGTCTTTGTTTTTTTTTTTCTTCCGGTACCAGGAATTGAACTCATGACCTTGTGCTTGCCAGGCAGGCGCTGTGCCACTGAGCTAAATCCCCAGCCCCTAATGACTGTGGTCTTATAATATCTCTTCAGGTTGTGTATTGTGATGCCCTCCACCTTGCTCTTGTTACCAGGATTGCTTTTGCTATCCTGGGTCTCTTCTGGTTCCTTCAGAATTTTAGCATTGTCTTCTCCAGTCCTGTGAAAAATGCTGTTGCAATTTTGACTGGGATCGGTCTGTGTGTCAATTTTGGAAGTAGTTGTAAGTGTATTCAAAGGGTTGTCTTTTCCTCTCCTTAGCACTTGTAACTTGCTTTATTAGTTTCTAGCTTACTTTTTTCTCTCTTTCTGAAAACATGGATGTTTTTTATTTTCTCTGTTCTTGTATTGAAGGTAGTATATACTATATATACAATTTTAGATTTTGTCCTTTTCATTTAAGAGCATATCCAGGGCTGAGTGTGGTCACACACACCTGTAATCCCAGCACTTGGGAAGCTGAGGCAGGAGGATCCTTGGGAGTTTGAGGCCAGCCTGGACTACAAAGTGAGCTCAAGGCCAGGCTGAACTGCATAGTGAGACCCTGTCTCAAAAAGACAAAAAGAAAAAAAAAAGAGTATTACAGAGATACTCCTTGCTGTTTTCACAGCTGCATAGTGTCATTGTGTGTGTGTTTCATTTTTATTCAAGCATACTCTGCTTTGGCAATCTTTAGGTCATTCCCAATATTTTACAATTACAATAATGCTGCAACAAATAATCTCCTGCTAGATATTTTCGTACCTTTGGAGGTGTATCTGCAGGACAGATTCCCAGAAGTGGGGTAATTGGGTCAAAGGATCAGGACATTCTCCCACATAGTGTTCCATTCTGAATTTCCTCTACTGATGAGTGAGCACTATCTTCTTTATGGAAAGAGTTGTCAGACTTTTGAATCTTTCTAATCTGATGGGTAAGAAATGGCAGCTCAGTGTAGATTTAATTTGCATTTCTCCTATTAAAAAGTTTTTTTTTTTTTTTTTTTTTGAGACAGGGTCTCGCTATGCAGATCAGGCTGGCCTTGAGCTCTCTTTATAGCCCAGGCTGGCCTTGAACTCCCAATGATCCTCCTGCTTCAGCCTCCTGAGTGCTGGGATTATAGGCATGTGCCACCACACCTGGCTCTCCTATTAAAAAGTTGAACATTTTTCTTATATTAAAACCTGTCTGTATATATATTTTTTTGTCTGTACTTTTTTTGCTTTGTTCATGTCTCTTGTCCCCCCCTTTTTGCTTACAAGATTTAAAAAATCTTTTCTCCTAAGTTAAGAAACTTCTTTATACATGTTTATATTATATAAACATACAAATAAAATTTACATGTTAATTTTATTCATATTAGTTATTCGTCCATCTTATATGTGGCAAATGACTTTTTTATTTTTGTTTTTAGGACAGGGTCTTGGTATGTTGTCCACACTTGTCTTGAACTCCTGGGCTGAAATGATCCTCTTGCTTCAGGCTCCAGAATAGCTGGGACTATAAGCGTGTACCACTGGGCTTAATTCTGATTTTTTTAAACCTCACATGTAATGCATTTTGTCATGAAGAGTTTAAAAACTTTTTAAATAGTCAAATTTATTTTTATTTTATCACATGGGTGCTTAGAAAGCCTTTCTCCATATTCCCATGGTAGAGAGTAATGCCTTTTATTCACCGAGAGCTTGCCATGTAAAAGGTACCATACGAAGGGCTTCTCATATATTATTATGTGTAATAGTAGAAAGAGATCTATGAAGCATTTGAAGACAGTGGTTTTTGAATCAGATCTTGTCTGACCTACATTTACTGCCTACCAGTTGTGTAACTTTGCTTGTAGTATTTGTATTTTCTGGGTGCCAGTCTCATTACTGACAGAAGGAGGTCGTAACAGCATCTGCATCTGAAGGTTGCTATAGGAATTGCTTGAGTTCCTACCTGAAAGGGCCTTTAACAGTTCTTGGCACCTAGTCAGTGTTGAGTGAAAATTGGCTACTACTGTGTGTCTTGGTTACTTTTCTGTCATTGCTGGGACAAAATACCTGACACCCAGAAGAAGGAAGGAAAGGTTTATTTAGCTCACAGTCTGTGGAGATTTCAGTCCATACTCAGCTGGCTCCAAGACAGGGTGGCACATGGCAGAGGGCAACAGTTCATGGTGGTGGAAAACAGCAAAGCAACAAGAGCAAAAGGGAGGAGTGTCAGCGAGCAGCCTCTTTCTCTCCCTTACATATGCAAACTACCCGCCCAAGGGCAGTGTAGCACTCATAGCCGTGAATCATTCAAAAATCTAGAAACTTACCCCATGACCTCATGAGGATTTGGGGGCACATGCAGACACAAACCATAGCACTGTACTAAAATATTTCAGTTCTGGACATAAATATTATAATCTAATGCTCTCCTTTCCAATTTTTTTTATCACTTTAAATGTTTGTATTCCTTTTATTGTAGATCTTAAAGATTGCTGTGAAACAGTATCTTCTGTATTACCATAATTTAACTTTTATTCTAGTTTAGTTTTTTGGGGGTGCTAGGGGTTGAATCTGTTTTAGGTATCAACATTGTCCCTCCTCTATTGCTGGCCTAAGAAAAGAAAGTATTGCTACTCTCTGTTTTGTCCTTAAACTTTATTATACCATAAGTAGTAGTTCCCTTAGGCAGCAGCAAACGATTTTAGATGAGTGTGGATGGAAACCACTAGGGGACACTCGAGAGTTAAGTACAACTCTGCCTCTAATTTGCTTGGTTTTGAAGGGTGGAGGTGTAATCAGTGCAGCAGTGGTCTTTTGAGTTTCGTTCAGGGGATATGACAGTTCTTACTTTTTGCATTCTGCTCGAAAAGTACTGGTATTTTAAATTTCCTATGACACAACATACAGAGTACTCACAATTCAGTGGTGATGCTTCCTTCTTTCCCCTTCTCTACCCATATTTCCTCAGTATGCAGCCATTATTAGAAACTTTCATTCATGGCACAGGGATTCCACTGAACATCAGTTTTTGTGTCTTCAGGTTACCAGAGGGAACTTCAGTATCAGAGGGACGATGGCTCTTTCAGTGCTTTTGGGAACAGTGATCCTTCTGGGAGCACTTGGTAAGTGTTTCGGCAGTCAAATTTGGATTGTGGAGCGGGCTTTTACCAGGTCATAGTGACCGTGAAGTTGACAGACGTGACACTATATATAGATTTGGCAGCTGCTTTTCTCATAGTCTGGTTTTAAAAGTTATTTATTTACTTATCTTTGGTTTTTTTAAGACAGGTTCTCACTATCTAGCTGTCCTTGAACTCACTACGTGACCCAGGCTGGCCTTGAACTTGCGGCAATCTTCCTGTCTTATCCTTCTGGGTGCTGGGCTTACAGGCATGTGCTACCACACCTGGCCAAAGATACCTTTTTAAAGCCTGATTTTTTAAAAAAGCCTGATTTTGAAACATTAACACATGAAGCGGTTTTTGGTTAGAAAATGCAGATCATAGTTCCTCTTTTGTTTGTGGGAGACGCAAGGATAAAAATACTTTATGATAATGGTGGAGTTGATAAGGAAAGCTGGTCACTGTGACATTGTTCTTTCCATAATTTCTGACATGGTTAGGGCAAGTGTTTTGTTAATATGGTCTGTGCGGTCTCTTTAAAGTTATATTATTTGACAAACAAACAGTGATGGGGTTCAGTAGCGAACATCCAGAGTTTTGCCCTGAATGAAGTCTCTAAGTAGCCGCCATCTTCTGTTTCATACTCCAGAGTGAGACTGACCAAAAATGTCAGCCCGCTTTCCATCACTACGGCATTCCAGAGGTGATCAACTTAGAAAGAGAAAAGCTTAACTTGAGGTCCTAGTCCTTGCCCAGTGGCCCTGTTGGCTTGGGCCTGTGGTGAGGCAGCACATCATGACAGGAGCCGAAGCAGAGTAACCACTTAACCTCATGGCTGGAAAGCAACAGAGAAAGGGTCAGGGTCCCCAAATACCTGTTGGGGCACATCCCGGTGATCTAAGGACTTCCCACAAGGCTGACCTCTCAAAGGTCCCACCACCTTCCAACAGCATTGCTCCGTGTGCCTTTGGGGATATTCAGGATCCAAAGTATAGTGCTAACTGTATCCGTCAGTCCAGACTGGGTGTTCTGGGGGTAGCAAGCACCTCCTAAATCACAATAGCGTGTAAACAACGGTCTGTTTCAGGCCCATGCTGCATTCCAGTGGGGGTCAGCAGAGAGACTGCAGTCCGTGACCTTCTTAGCAGGAGGTTCCAGCTGCACAGCATTGAAAGCAAGGCTGGAGGGTCTGGCACTGGCCTTTGGTGCTTCATACTCACTTTATCATTGTTAGAGATGCTCACATGGCTGCGCCTAACTTTATGGGGCCAGGGACGTGAATTCCTCTGCATAGTCAAAGTGAAAGAGAACTGGGCATTGTTAAGTATTAGTAATGTTTATTGAGCTGATTCAAATTTCCTCATGTCAGGAGTCAGGATATGGATCCATAAACAGAAAGATTTCTTAGTTTCATTGCTTGACATTCTTTTCACTCTACTATATGTTCCACATCAGGTTGGCAAACATTTTTCTATAGAGGGTCAGATACTAAATACTGTAGACATACTGCACCAGAGAGATCTAAGTTGCATAACCTACCTTCTTTCCCTGCCCTCCCTCGCTTCCTTCTCTCCTTCCCTCTCCTCTTCCATCCTGTTCCCTCTTTTCTTCACTTTTTCCATTTGGAAATCCTCGCTGGGTGTTGGCGGCAGGTCAGGGTTGGTGTACATACAAATACACCCTGAGCTGCACGGATTTGGGCCAGACAGGTTTGGCTCGTGAAGTGCAGTCCTGTAGGAAAGAAAAGTAATCCATTTTCCTCACTCAAAGCATTACACTTTGCTTGTAAACTGTGTATACTTCATCTGTGCTTTGAGGCTGAATGGAAAGTACGTGGGATTTTCTTTGGCAAATGGCTAGGACAGTCTACAGATGGGTAACCTTGGACAACTTACTTAACTCTCCTGGGGTGTCACATGTTCAACCTATAAAAGAATGAGATGGGATTAGATGATTGCTAACTTCCTTTCCAAATCTTATCTTTGGAGTGGACCTGAAACCCCCAGCTGGGCTCAAGTGGAATCAGGCCCACCTTCTAGGCTGGGGGTTACCCTGTCTTCTCCTTTGCACTTTTTCAGATTCTACCTTGGATGAGTTTTCTGATGGGGAAATTTTCACTCAGTGTCAATTTGGAATGTATTTATAGTGTGTATTTTATGTATTTTTTCCCCCTTTCATCAAGGTTGTCAGCTTTTGTTTTAAGATGTTTCCTTGAAGCTGATCCTTACATAGATATTGATCAGAATGTGCTGCACAGAGCATATAATTGGCTGAAAGGACATCAGAAATCCAGTGGTGAATTTTGGGAGCCAGGAAGAGTGATCCACAGTGAACTTCAGGGTGGCAGTAAAAGTCCAGTGACACTCACAGCCTATATCGTGACTTCTCTCCTGGGATACAGAAAATATCAGGTACTTCCTCTTTAATAAATGATAGGTGGGAAAGCCAAGGAAGGCAGATCTTGATGGGTCAAATATGTGTCTGGAAACTTCAAAAAACATTTTTTTTTAAAGACATAGTTTTGCTGTGCAGTTCAGGCTGGCCTTGAACTCACAGCGATACTTCTGCTTCAGCTTCCCAAGTGCTGAAACTACAGGTGTGAGCCATCACCGCATTTGAAATCTAAATTTGTGTACCCTCTGCTTTGTATTTATGGCTACACTCCAAAATCTGAGAATAATAATATTAAGTCACTCTCCCAGAGTAGTAAGAGGGTTCCAAAAATGCTTTATAATGTAGGTAATGTACTTGTTATTAGTAGCAGAAGTCAAGACTTTTTTTTTTTTTTGGTCTTTTTTGAGAAAAGGTCTCGCTGTGCAGTTGAGGCTGGCCTTGAGCTCACTTTGCAGCCCAAGCTGGTCTTGAACTCGCAACTGCCTCAACCTCCTGAGTGCTGGGATTACAGGCGTGTGCCACCATGCCCGGCCGTATTTTATTATTGTTAGAGGAAAGATGATTTTTCAGAGCTTGAGAGTGTTACAGGGTAGTTGTTTTAGAAATGGCTCCCGCATCAAAAGTGCTCCAGGTCCATCTTGATCGGGACGAAGAATCGAACGAGACAAGCCAAAAAACAGTGCCAAATGTTTATTTGAACAGTGAGGGCTAAATGGGTGTGAGACAAACCAGCGCTGCAGAGCAAAGCTGGGCTGAAGAAAGAAAAGAAGGTAAAAGCAAAAATAAAAATACACACCCAACCGGGCCTAACCTGAAAACTTAAAAATTGGGCATTTCTGTGATGGCCGCCCTTTTATGCCGTCCACATCTCGTGGGAGCTCGCGAGAAGTTGTACATACGGGGCCTTTGCGTTGCCCTGGAATCTTGTAATTGACAGGTCCCGTTCATTTCCCTCAGCCAGCTTTGCCACATCGTATCTTCTGTGTGGACAATGTGTTCCAGCAAGGTGAGGTTGTGAAGGAGTTTTTTTTTTTTAAATTTTTAAAAACATTTCTGAAGTATCTTGGAACAGTTGCAGCGTCTACTAGCTTAGTGCAAAGTACACGCTGAAAAGCCAGTTACGTGGGCATGGATGCCAAGGTGAAGGTGAGCGTATGTGGAAAGTTATTTTCAGGATCCTAATTTTGCTCCAGAGCTGTCCCGGTGTTTGATATCTTGCTCTTTACTTCTCCGGCATTTCACAGGGTCAGCAGCCATTCTCTGCACTGAGCTCCTGCTCTTTCACTAGCTCAACACTGAGCTCACAGAAGATGGACTTTTCTCTACATTTAGAGGTTGAATGTTGAGATTAAAGTTGAGAAATGTTTTTCTCAAGCTATTTTTCTGCTTTCATCTGAGTGACTGGTACTCGGTTAAACAGTGGGAAAATCTACACTTTTTGTTCCTTGTTTTATCTGAAGAACGGGCCCTGTTTCATTATAACTGAAAAGCAGTATTATTTTCAAAATGCATGGCAGCTCTGTAAATATCAATATGTGTCATTAATTTCCATTGCCTAGCGCTGGGTAGGTGCTTAACAGACACTGAAATTACTTTTTGAATGAATGTAAAGTACTTTTTATTTTAATGTGAGCTAATGGGTTATTTTGAATAATAAAATATGTATCTTTTCTTTCAAGCCTAATATTGATGTGCGAGACTCTATCAACTTTTTGGAGTCTGAGTTCAGTCGAGGAATTTCAGACAATTACACTCTAGCCCTTGTAACCTACGCACTGTCCTCCGTGGGGAGTCCTAAGGCCAAGGAGGCTTTGAAAGCCCTGAGCCAGCGTGCAGAGGAGCAAGGTAAAGGAGGGACCAGAAATAGCTGGGTTGAATGGGACCTGTAATCCTTGTTTACTGAGGAATCTCCACACTGATCTCCTCAGTGTTGCACCAGTCTACACTCCCACCAACAGTGGAGAAGGCTTAGGGCATTTTTCCAGAAGAACTGAAAACATTGTACCACAGCAATATATGTGCACCCATGTTTATAGCAGCACAATTTGTCATAGCTAAATCTTGGAAACAACCCAAATCCCATCAATCGAGGAATAGATAAAAATGATGTATTTTTATACAATAGAGTACTACTCAGCCATAAAGAAGGATAAACTCGAGACTTTTTCAGGTAAATGGATGCAACTCGAGACCATACTCATAAATGAAATAAATCAGACTCACTGTGTAAACATTCATATTGTCTCCCTAGTGTAAAAACCTGGAAGAGTAAATAAAATCTTAAAGGTACAGTAGACATTATGAAGAGGAAAGAAACTGCTCAAAAGGCAAGAACACCTGGGATGAGGGAAAAGAGAAAGGAAAGAAAGAAGGAAGGGAGAAAATATGTATATATACATACACAGGATGGCTAAGAAAATTGTACTACTAATTTCTGTTGGTTTATTGAAAAGAACAGTTAGTGTTTATTTGACCAATCTTACATGCCTGTATCTGGTTGTCTGAGTAATCAATTTGAAGATAACAGTATGTAATACAACAATCATTGTTAATTTCCTATCACCTTGTTTGAAATTCTTTATCATTTTTATTGTTTTTGTGTTGTTTTGTTTATGTCTTTGTTTTTGTTCTTTTCTCCTTAAAATTAAAAAAAAAAAAGGAGGAACTGGGCTCAGGTAGTTAGGCTCTTAAGGGATACACACATAAGCTAGTATTTTGTCTTTAGAATGAGATGAAAAATAAGCCATGGAAGGAGATCAGGATGGGCCAAGGGGTTCTGATGCCTTATGCTCCCCAGGAGTTTTGTACAGAATTGCACGCCTAGGAGTCTCCTTCTTGGAGATACGCTCTGCACTATGTAGTGACTCTTCGAGTTGCTGATGCCATTTCTGATTTGACAGCCTTTCGTGCTCCCTGGAACCCTTGGTTCTGCAGGACTTGAGTTTCAGCTCTATTTCTTTTTTTTTTTTTTCTTTTGAGACAGGGTCTTGCTATGCAGTTCAGGTTGGCCTTGAGCTCACTTTATGGCCCATGCTGGTCTCCAACTTGCAATAATCCTCCCGCTTCAGCCTCCCGAGTGCTGGGATTACAGGCATGTGCTGCCATGCCCTGCCCAGCTCTGTTTCTGAAGCTTGCCTTTGTGAGCTTCCGTTTCTCAGTCAAGAGGAATGACACCTATGTTAGGGTTGCTGTGAGAATTAAGTAAGGTAATATGCAGAGCCTGCCTCATAGCAAGTGCTCAAAATAGGATCTAAATGCAAATATCAAAATGTTCTGCTAATAAACATGGTAGGTTGTGTGTGTGAATCTTTTTTTTTTTTTTTTTTGAATGGGAACTGCTTTTGTGTTACAAAAGGACAGGAAGCATGGGTATAGTTACTCCTAAAGTGATCTCTGTACAGTAGCCAGAGGTCCAGGTGTGTGTGTGTGTGTGTGTGAATGAGAGGTTTTAGATGGTGCCCTCTGATTCCAAGTTCCATTCATTCCAGAAGGAGTAACCATAGAAAGTGCTTGGAGGTGAGAGACTACAGGAAATATTATATTAGCAGGAGTTTAGACAGAATCCTTGTTCCATATTCCAGTGCTGAAGACTGGATAATTACTGCAGAAGCCGAAGTGATCCTTGGCTTTGTGGGATGTCGCATTGCAAGCAAGCACAATCACCACCAAAGTCCTGGGGGCGCCACGTGGGATGGTGGTCTGGGGCTAGAGCAGGATTGTGTCCAAGAAGATTGGCGGCTTGGCTAGGGTCCTTCAGGATTTTTTGCAGGAGAGGGGGTGCTTGAATTTTTGCACTTATAGCTTCAGCTTTCAGACAACAGAAAAGGGAGCAGAGTCGCAGAACGTGAGAGATCCAAGGACGGGATTCTCTCCCATGTGTCCTAAACTCTTTCGGGGATGATTGGCTCAGATAAATTGTACACATGACTTGTGAAACACAGTGTATTTTTCTTTTTATTTATAGCTGTTTTGTCTTGAGGTAAACTGGAATTTCTCTTGGGAAAAATATTTTAATTAAATCATTCTCAAATACAGGTAATAGGAAGAGATGAAAATTTATAAGTTGTAGTAGTTTGGAAAGTGACATATGCATAAGTGAATGTTCCTCTACATATACATATGTGAATGTTCCTCTACATATACTTAAACATATACATATGTGAATGTTCCTATGCATGCATGTGGTGTGTGAGAATGCTCATATCCCTGCTTGGCTTGCACATACGCACAGATAAAATGTATTTTCATGCAAGTCAAAGACTGCTCGGCCCGGTAGGGCCGTTTAATACCGACTGAATGTCGTTACCTTTCTCCTGCAGGAGGTGAGCGGTTCTGGGCGTCGCCTGCGTCCACCCTGTCCCAGGGCTGGCAGCCGCGCTCTCTGGACATTGAGGTGGCGGCCTACGCGCTGCTGTCCCATTTCCTGCAGGGGCAGGTGCCCCAAGGCATCCCCATTATGCAGTGGCTCAGCAGGCAGAGAAGCGGCCTGGGAGGGTTTGCGTCCACGCAGGTGAGAGATGCAGTTGGTCTCCCCTTTACACTATGTACTCATGTATTTTTAGGAATTACGTGATTTTTTCCTATGACTTTGTGAAGTTACTTAGCAGTTTATAAGTTGTGTAACTTAAAGATTTGAGGCGCTAATCTAATTTTTTCTCGTGAATTTTCTGATACTCATATGGAGCCGGCCGGGTCCCGTCTGTGCTAGCTCCCGGGCACCCGCGGAACTGATTTACAGTGGATGCGCAGGTCCACACGCGGACTCTTCTGAGCTTTCCGTGTGCTTTTGGCTGAGGAATCCGAGTGTGGAGCAGGTCCTGGACACGACTGCGCGTGCTCCTGGGACAGCTTGAGATGCAGCTGTGTGCACAACTGGCTTCCTTCTCTCGGCAGGACACTATTGTGGCCTTAAAAGCCCTGTCCGAATTTGCAGTCCTGATGGACACGAAGAGAGCAGGTGTCCAAGTGACGGTGACGGGGCCGAGCGCACCGCATCCTGTGAAGTTTCTGATTGATACACACAACCGCTTTCTCCTTCAGACAGAAGAGGTGTGGAAAACGATCGCTACTTAAAATTCTGCATGGATGGGTCTTTGTACTGGGCTCCTTCCTTCCTTCCTTTATCTCTTTTTCCTTTCCTTTCCTTTCCTTTCCT